TTCATGTATCTTTTTCATGTATCTTTTTCACGCAGGGAACTTTTTTTTCTAAACGCAGGTGTTCCCCGAAAATTTTCATTCTCACGAAACGGAGAGACAGAAACTGAAACTGAGGCACAAAGTTATCCGTCCAGATCCATATTTGGGAAAGAACTCTTATTTAAATATAGTTCCTCTTGGGGCATACGTTTTGGAGAGACATTTTCCATGAAATTTATTGTTCCGGTAAGGAGGCAGATACAGAAAGCTGAAATTCCGTTAAGATCACCAGAAAAAGATTATTCCCAGAAAATTACTCCTTTTTTAGTTCCATATCAACGCAGCGAAAAATATGTTCATACGGCATGATTCCAATAAAGTCTCACCGTAAAACTATTCGAGTGCGTATAGATAGCTAAAACACTGTACAGGGTGATCATAAAGTCCCAATCTATTTCATCGTTAAGCTCAAAATTCTTGCAAAAATGCATAATGTGCACTTCACATTGTCAATAATGAAATAAATAAAACTGGTAATGGTAAATTAAAAATCAGTTATTAACATTTTTTTAATGCTAATGTTTCACATGTCCAGCTTCCAAATCGATACATAACTGGAATCGATCCGTTGTTACCCTGAACATTCAGGATGTTCAGCATGTCAGGGGTTACAGTGTTAACAGCAGCATAGATACGGTCTCTTAAATCTTCAGCATTGAGAACCTTTGTGCTGTAAACCTTTGACTTAATGCACCCCATGCAAAAAAATTCAAGGGGGTTATGTCAAGTTATCCTGAAGCCAAATTTCTGTTCGATCCTCGGCCAATCCAATGGTTCGGGAACTTCTCATTAGATAATCTAGCACAATGTTCGCGAAATGAAATTTGGGCTTCAAGATCCCCTAAGCTAACCCCTTTGACTTTTTTGCATGGGGGTACATTAAGTCAAAGGTTTACACAGCACAAACATTCTCAATGCTGAAGATTTAAGAGATCGTATCTATGCTGCTTTTAACACTGTAACCCCTGACATGCGGAACATCCTGAATGTTCAGAGAAAGAACGGATCGTTCCAGTATCGATTTGAAATGTGATCATGTGGAACATCATTTAAAAAAATAAATTAATAACTAGGGCTGTCGATCGATTAACAAGTTTGATCGATTAATCGTGAGCCATTTAATCGATTCATCGGTCGATTCATCGGTCGATTCATCGAATTTTAATCGATCCCTTAGTTCCTCCTTGAATCCTGTCCTAGACGTTGGTAATGACTCTGCTTGTGTCATGCCCAACTCCTAGGTGAGCCTCAGGAAGTGACTCAAGGCGATGCAGTCGCTAACATAGCAGTTACTATCCATACATAACACTAGTTCCTCCTACATGTGACACATTCCGATCGGAAAGAAAATAGTTACAATTTGACAGATAAATCATGAAACGTAAGGAAAGAAGCGCACTGAGGCCCTTTGTCATTTAGCCGATCCATAACAGAAGGATGCAAGAATGTACCATAAATGATTGGATGTATACTGTGACATTTCATTACGCTGAAATTTAAAGATTCATTAACGATTTTCGGGCAACACAGGATGGAAGAACAAATACTCAAGAACAAATACTCAAGAACAAGAGTTTAGCAATAAAATAGATTGGGACTTTATGATCACCCTGTGCATAAATACCTCTCAGTATGACTGTTTAAAAGAATTAAAGATCTCTGTTTGATAACTTGCCAGTGACGTCACATAATGGGAAGTAACTTGACAGAGCAATAAATATACCTATGACCCCAGGAGTTTTACCAGATTGGTCTAAACGGATATTTCAAATGAATCAATCATTCTTCTCGATAATGGAGCGCCGAAGGCGCCATTAGTATCATCGCTAGTATACGTATAGAGTAAAATAATTTACCTTTTGGTGCCGATTCTGGCCGAAATTTTATGAAAATGCCCTGCTTCTCAACTCGGAAGCACAGAATAGAGAAGACCAAAACCCAAGGCCAAATTATTGTAAATAGCCTGCAGAATCGGGGTAAAGCTTAAAGAAGGAAAGGACAGCGATGGATCCAATCCTGAAAAAATAGTCAAGCAGCCTGCTTCATCGTTGAGGCCGCAAGTCCGAATGAACCCTATTCAGAACAATTTCAGGTGCTACGGCTGCAGATTTAAGTACTAGTAGTTAATGCAGTACCTAATATCCCAGAAGCAATATCCCGGCTGAAGTCCATCTGTCAGCACCATAGCTAACGATCAATCGGCTCGAACAACCTCGCAACTGGAATGCATGGTAGACTCAAGCCTAAGGAAGAAATGGAAAAGAAAGCAAAACTTGGAATTACTCAAGTCGATGAAAGAAAATGTGTAGCCGAGAGAAAGGCCCTACCGTACATTAACTCTGTCGTGCACTGACAGATTGGAGCGATGCCCAGACTGCTTTCTACCACCTTCAGTATTTGGCCTCGAAGCACATTAGGCAAATAGCACCCGACCCTTGCCTGACAAATTGGATGAGCTAAGTCCTGGGACAAAATTAAGAAAAGTTATGGGGTTGGGTCGGGTGTTTCTGAGTTCAAAACTGGGCATTTTTTGCTGCCCTTCGGGGGTTTCGACAAGAATCGGCACCAAAAAGTAACTTCTTTTACTCTATACCAGGTCTGGCAATAAAGTTCCAGGACTGACTATTTTGTGAGTCTGTCAATATCACAAAAATTATTTTCATTCCATGGACTGATAGATTAGACTGTTGGACAGTGTTGTGTCAGCCCTCATCTGACTAGTGGGGGGGGGGGGATCGCCATTGCGAAATGGCAGGGGGAGTGGGGATTACCGAGCATCTTCTCTCTTCATCCATTTTATCCCTCCTTTATCCTTCGCGATTTCCCGTTTGCTTCGTGATCGAATGGCTTCTCGATGGGGTCAGTAGCAGGATGCAGACAATGCTTTGCGATTGGGGCGGGGGGTGGGAGGAAACACATCGTTGCTTTCTATGGGAGACTTAAGAACTGAAAACCGGCTTCAGGGAACAATTCGCGAATGGAAAATAGATGTTCCTAACACTAGGTAATATCCGCTCAAAGCGTGACCGACATGAGAATCCCCTAACATGGGAATATCGAAGCATCATTACTGGCAAGACAGTAACAATTAGAGTCAAAGAAAATGCAATCAGCAATTTTTCCGTTTCCTGAAAGGCATGAAAGGTCTCATGAGTGAATCAATTCGGTTCCCATTAGCCTCCATAGCGTTTCCCATTATTTCTGACTCGACTTGGGCCTCGAGCGGATCGGGAACTGAGGAAATTCAGTTTAGAACATTTTTTTGTAGCCTTCGTCTAAATGGATATTAATTTTTTTTTGGCAGAAATTTCTCTCTTCGTCTTCTTAATCGTCGACGAAAGTGTCCAATTTTGCAGCTTCCTCGCGTCCTCTCACGAGATCAAAGCCGGTCGCGTTTTCATCATTCGCGATTTTCCCACGCTGCTTTCTGACTCTTCCCTGGATTTTTCTCGCGAGCGAAGGGTAAATGAGGTGTCCAATTCACATCCAAATTAAAATTTTGAAGTAAAAAAAAATTATACCGTGAAGGCCCCGCAGTGGCGGCTCGTCATTGGAGGCAAGGAAGGAAAATTGGGCACGGTTTCCCTAAATATCCCATCGAGCACTTTCTTATACGATTAAAAATGAATCACCTTCAGCCACAAAATTTCGCAGGAAATCTCTCAAACCCACTGGATGATCGATGCAAAAAGCGAAATCTTACCGATTTATTCCTGTCTTGAATCTCAGAGGAGGCTGGGACTAGGAGGATGGGGCATGAGGCTGAGGCCAGGAGGCTAGGGCCAGGAGGCTGTCGGGCATGATGCCTCCCTTAGCCTCCTGGCCTCCTCTAACCTCCTGGCCCATACCCAACGCATCAGGAGGGGGAAAGAGCTAAACAATGAAACAAATCAAATTATAAGGTCTGTAATGATGCCGGGAAGCAGACGATTCATCACCGAGAAGCGGGGAGCGACCGGCGGATTCCACTTTCAGATCATTTTCATTCGTTTCCTTGCTTTTTTTTGCATTTTAAGGGAATTTAAAATGTGATCCTCGGTGGCTGCGTCTGAGACCATCAGAGGAGAGAGTTAATTTTATCCCGAATTTGAGAATGATCCCGAATGCGGCAATCGCGCCGTGATTATTGTGATTCATTTGATGTTCCTCGAATGGCCATGTCGGCCTTTTTACATTCCAGCCTTGCCTCGTTCTGTCACGGAGACTCAAAATAGTGCTAAAACAAGAAAAAAGGGGGGAAGATAACTTTAGGAACTCTCGATCGATGAAGCGAAGAAAGCAATGAGGAAAAGGCTACTTTCATACAAGTTTCGGGACTAATTTCGCACGTCTCGAACTTTTGCTTCGAGTAGAGGCCTGCTTGGGATTCCGAATTCGTACCGAACAGGCGATCGAGGACGGTGCGAAGGGTGACGCGAGACGTCACTTTGCTCCTCTGATGTGCTCTGTAGTGGTCATCAGGAAGAACTCCTTTCCTACGTGACTTATATATAAAGTGTCGAGTTTTCTCGATCGCCTTTTTTTTTTTGCTCGCCTGCCGTTTCACGAATCGTCGAGCGACGAGACTGGTCCGATTGATTCCGATTGATATCGTGGCGTCCCTGGGATTCTCATCCGCGAGACTCGACTGACGTCTGCCAGAATCGATGAGGCGTGAAATGAGGATTATCAAACGTAAATTTAGTTGGGGAACAGCAACGAGTTTTCTGCTACGCCCCGACGGACAAGGTCGATCTTCGGTTTCTTCGATACCGTCAGTCTGTATTTATTAGTTTATTTCAATTGTTAAGCACGACTCAGGGCACGGATGGCATTTTCGCAACTGACGATAGACTTCGTCTTCCGGGTCGTCAACGACACTCAAGTCGACCCACGACGACATGGAAGCCGACCCTCCCGGTCCCTCCGTCGGGTCTCGGTGCGAATATCACGACAAAGAATTCGCGGAATTCACGAGAGAGATGAATGGAGCTCGAGCCCTCATATTTCCCCTTTCTTCGTCGATACTCCTGCGATCGAAGAAAGAGAGAGAGAGTGAACAGGAGGGGAGAGTTGGGGGGCCTCATTACCCGTTCTGGGTGCAGCGAAGGGTCTCGAAGGATCTCTAATGCTGTTTGCAGACTCGCCGACCTAATTTCATGCTCTCGAGGTCCATCCGAGCGGGGGGGGGAAGGTGATCTCATTAAATATTCCTGTCTCTCCGCGCTCCTGCATCGATATTCGTAAGCCTTGATAGAAACTCTTTAACAGAAACTTCGCCTGGATATTGACCGATATCCAGTAAACCGGTATTCGGTAAGCCGGAAGCTGTCGTATCAGCTGACACGAACGCGAGGGTATGGAGCACCGAGATAATAAATAAATAGAAGAGATTCCCAATCACCATGATGTTTTCGTTTGTTGAGGAAACGCGAGTTTTAGGAGAGGGAAAAGAAGTCTAATTAATTTTCTTGCCAGGTATACAGATAAGGAGATAGAAACGTTCTCAGCAGTGCGATGCAATCAAATAAGGAAAAGAGATGAGCCCGTTCTTTTCCATGAAGCTTTCAAAATGTTCGTCTAAAATAAATGATGAGTAGCCGGTAAAAAAAAACCGCATTTTGGAATGAGCTTCGATCCAGACACTGCATCAGTACCGACTCTGACGTCAAAGTCGGCAAACTTGTCGGGGCGGTTGAGAACCAGATTAAATTCTCGCTTTCTCGCCCTAAATTTCCATTAAGAACGGGCCGAGATTCGGCAGCACTCTTCCGAAACCAGCTCCTATGGAGCCCGGCAAGTCGATTCGATGCCACCAGACTTATTTACGGTCTAATATACGTCTGCAAGGAAAGAAGAATCTTCGGCTTAGTGGATTTTAAGGGGGTTGGTATCAAATCACCGAAACTCATGTCGACGAATGGACATTTTTTCGAAAAGCAGTTGAGCGAACGCGACCATACATAGAAGGACTCATTCCCAGAAGTGTATGGAGATCGAAAGGTTTAGGTCACCGAAGGCATATGAAGCCGAAAAAATACTGGTTTTATTTTCTTAGTTTTGGCCGTCTTGATTAATGTGCCGAGTCACTTGTGCCCTGGCTACGGTCTAGATACATCCCGCTGCGCGCTGCGCATTTGAATCGAGTTAGAAGTGATCAAGGATCCACAAGGGCAGGATAAGTTTGTGATACAGTCTTTTCTGAAGAAACAAAGTGAGGCACCGAAGAACCATTGAGCTTTCTAAAGTATGAACGCGCTAGGATTTCGATTTTTGCGTTAACCCAATAATTCTACGCTTGTAAGGCATTGGGCTCTTTTTTTATTTCCTTGAAGTCGTCGTTCACTACTTGTCAGGCTGATGTAAAACGTTGACCCGGAGCTTAATTAAACTCCAAGAGTCTCTAGAGCAGTGGTTCTCAACCTGGGAGGTGTCACCCCCGAATGCATGAAGGTTCAATGGGAGTAAAAGGAAGGTTGAAAACCACTGCTCTAGAGGTTAAGTTTAAAAATGAACTTGAAATATTGATATTCTTACTCATTAATAAATTACTCAGAGGCGCTTCGCGGGAAGACATACTGCATATGCACTGAGCCTGGTTGCCGGAATATGACTGACACAGATGGACTAAAGATGCGGTGAAGTCTCCTTCTGCAGGATACTTACAGCACTGTCCATCCAGGCCCATCCAAAAATGTCTTTTTTTGAGTGGGGTTTCCTCTGTTTCTTTTCCTTAAATGACTGCAACATAACGGTGTCTTTCACATTTGACTATTCGACCTTGACGTTAGTGATGAAATCCATGATTCTAAATTTTTTTTTCTTCTACAATTTGATGTTTCGACGAAAATCATCTTTCACCGAAAAGATTTTGCTTCGACGAAATGTCATTTCGGCAAATTTATTTGCCGAAATGACATTTGGTGTTTCGTCCATTGGATGAATCGACCTTTCGAGTTTTTGGCGAAGCCACTTTAGATGAATCGGTGTTCGATTTTTTGATACGCTCCCATTTTAGGGATTCAAATAAAAAGTACTACTTAGTACTACTTCCGTCCTCTACGATTATTTTTCGGCTCATTCGGCTAATCCCGCAGATTAGCCGATGCTCATCTGTTTTCAAACAGTGAATGAAGCTCCATGGAAATTGCTCGGAAAACATTCACACAATTAGGCGAATTTTCAAGTCTTAAGCTCGATGGTGGAAAGACGATGGCGTCCGGTTTTGCTCTGGTCTAAAAATAAAATGCCGAAAATAAACTCAAGTTTCCTGGAAATTTGGATATAAAAAAAATTAGAATCGGGGAAATTCAACAGTTGCTGGTGGAATAACCAGTGAAAATCTTATTTTCCGCAATTTTCACGTTTTCGCGGTAAGAAATGGCTCAAACATACCACATCTTCCATTTAAATTTGCAAAAATAGAGGCGGAAACGACGCACTGAATCTGCAGCAGCCCTAAAAGTTGGCATCACGACGACCGATTGGATTCTGCCGATTCAGGAAACGAACTTCGTGAGATCAGGTCGACTCACAAATAAGATTAAGTTTAGAATTTTTGAGGCTTTACCGATTTATCGGCTCCTAATTCAAATTGAACATTTTAAAATACGAAATGCTAGTTAATTAGATTAAAGGATTTTAATCGGGTTTTGGGTTAGAAGGATCCTGCATATCAAATTTAATCAAAATCGGAGATGGTGTGGCGTTACCAGTTGGTTTATTCGTCTCGTCTGACCCTATAGGATCCTATTGGATTTTACAGTATATGTTTTATCCTCTATATTGTGCGTATCCTGCAGGATTCCTACAGGACTTTTTCGTTCGGAATTACCATGGAGCATCGAGCTAACGTTTCGCTTCCATCCCGCCAAGATGTGGCGATGAAATCACTCGCAAGTAACCGGCGAAGTCCTTCATCATGCAAACCACGGATCCGGAAAGACTCGGGGCAAGGGGGGCAAGGGGGGCAAGGGGAAAAGAAATGGCAGGCGCATTTGCACAGCAAATAGAATCCCTAATGGAGCGCGAGGAATGAAATTTACTCTCTCGGAAGACTCTGAGGGGCAAGTTTTCTTCCCTTCTTGGCGGTACTGTTTCACCCGGCTAAGAAAAAAGAAACCAGTCGCCATGGCAACGGCGCATAGACTAATTACGGCGGGACAATACAGTAGACTCATCCGTAATCCTCCCCCATTCTGTTAATAACCCGTGTCATTGCTCCATCACCTCAATCCCCTTTCGTCTATTAAGTCTTTTTTCTCTTTTTTTGTGCTTTCCCCCCCTTTTTTTGGGGTTTTGGTTGACGCTTTTCGTCTCTCGCTGATTTGACTGCGTTCCGTCGAGTTCGGTTACCTTCCACGTATTTTATTAATATTTTATCTGTTTCATATTTTCGCATTTCGTATGTTCTTGCAACATCATTGCAGCATTTCGATTGCATATAAATAATTCACAAATTCATATTGTCTCCTCCATCGACCCCATATCCTCCGGATGAATCATCGATAGGGGTCGCGTGCACGTCAAACGTAGATTACCGACTATTTCCAGATACGAACACGTCGACTTCACCATGCCTAAATTGTTGTGAATGACTAAATAAATAAATAAGTAAATAAATAAATAAGGTGAAGGAGTCATTTTTTCCTTTTCCGGTTTCTCTCTCCATTGTACCCTCGTCTCGTTTCCGTTCCTCTCCTTCCCCCGATCTCTTATTGTTTCCATCCATCTCGAAGCTGGCACGACCGCGAGTAACACCAGCAGATATTAAATCAGTCGGACGGACAGTCGGCTGTCGGCTGTCGGCCGTCGGCCGTCTGGAGATCTATTGTTCGGACCCTGCCGCATCCAGACCGATCGGCTTGCCACAGTGCCGTTTTTTTGACACGATCCTCTGAGGGCAGACCAGGCGCGGAACGAAGGGTTCAACGACTGGAGCAAAGAATAATGGCACTTGGAACGTGCAAGAAATCGCTCTAGACTCTAGGAGTCTAGGAGTCTAGAGTCTAGAGAGTCTAGAGTCTAGACCACGGATATACCCGGATGGAGTGGAATAGGCCCAGCTGTGTTTGCTCAGGCGTGAGTCCGGATGCTCACTAACTGCCGGAATGAAAAAGGAGAGAGCAAAAGTGAGACACCGATCGCAATATCTGCCATTTTCCCATAGTAGTTATGGGAATGGGAGATAATAACAGGACCGATGCCCTGAAGCCACGTGTAAGCCTGAGCTCGAGGCCTCTATTAGCTCGGATCAGATACGACCCTCTTCCTAAGAGTTGGCTAGTTTCGATGTCCTCTCGATTCGCCTCTGCGAGAGCCGTCAACGGCTGTCAGTCAGATGACTAAAACCTGACTTTCTTCACAAAACTCCATGTTCTTTCTTCTTCTACCTTCGGTTTTTGCGTATAATAAACCGTTATTGCCTTCGTCCGAAGTTTCGAAACACCCCGTAACACCGAGGCTAAGTGAATACCGTCGAGGTGTTCACATTGCCGACGATTCCGTCCTTTTAGCCTGCTTTCGACAGGATCTTCAGAGCTTGGCTCATCGGTTTCGACCCCGAATCCACTGCGCCTGGAACGAAACTCAGCGTCGCCAAAACGTAAGTCACGGTCCTCTCGAGGAAATTTCGCGAGAATCCCGTCGAACCGTGGTTGCCAAGTCCGACAGGGGACAAAACTTTCTACTTTTGAGCGCGTTCACCTCCCCACCCACTCCCCCCTTTCCCCCACCCCCAACCCACCCACCCCCAGCGAGCAGTCTCCCAGCCCCAAAGTGAGCTTCTTCCGCTCCAGATCGACCAGATCGACAAGGATTCCTTTGCTCGGCGTTCCATCTGCTGAGTCCGTTGGGTGTTCTCGAGTCCGGTGTGTGCTCTCGAGTGGGCTTCTCCGACCACTCGGGACGCAACTCCATCAAGTTTCAATGGACCACATTAAAAATGAAAGAATGAATCCCATTATAATTCCTCATATGCTCGAAGAATTTATGAGGACTCGTTCGGAGTGAAAGAGAGGAAAGACCTCGAGGTCTAAAAGGCGGAAAGCCCCGGATTAAAGACTATTCTCTCTCACGATGCTGGAGCCAGAATGAAGTCTAAGCTAAATAGACCTGTAAATCAAATAGAAATGACAACTGCCACCCGAGAAATTCCATATATGGGGCGAGCCCAAAAGACCTACCGAAATGCATTCTGCGTATAAAACTGATTTGGGCCACCGACCGTGAAGAAAAAATTTTCAAGCGTGAAAGAATATTCCGCAAAAGCGGAAGCATCTTCGGATGCGTGCAGAATCCTTGGAATAACTGTCAGCGAAATTGACGCACATTGCGACGCTCCTCCGAAACGGAGAAGGCATTCGTGCGAGAGACCGTCTGATGAAGGAAACGCGAGGAAAACAATTGCATGGATTTCTCCGGTCAGAGGCGAGAACCGTTCCCGTTCCCGAAGGCGACAGATTCGGGATAACAAACGAGAATTCCGAAATTTGTGATGGTATCGGGTTCGATGATGCGTGGTACGCGGGCGGGCGCTTTATCCGAACGGAAACGAAGCTCTCGTCTTCATTCAACTTTCCATTGCCGATAAGAGCCCATCGTTCTTCCATTGTGCAGGGCATCGGTAAGGACCCATTTAGAGGATTGGGTTCAATTCCGGGGGCCTGCAAGGAAGAAAGGGGATTCCACGACGCCGGAGAGAGTGCAGAGACGGGCTATTAAACCGATAAGGGAGGTACGAAAGGGACCCTCCTTCCAAGTAGGTTAACGAAGTCGGTCCTCGTCAGCGAAGGCAACAAAAGACCACTTTTAACCTTAATGTCTCCGCTCGCAATGGAGCCAGCGAAACCTTCATCCTGCCTGTACCAGCTTGTTTCAAACCGATTCTCAAAGCTTCATCGGTTCTCGGCGTCTAAATTCTTTTCAATAACTGCTGATGGTATCGCTTCGGCTCAACAATGTCAGACGAATTTTTGAGAATCGATTGGAAACATGATCATATATGAAAATTTTCCGAAAGGAGCTCCATTGGGAACCCAGATATAAGTCATAGGTCATCGAATGATTGGCAGATTGTGGGTTTTTTTTGCCGATGCCGAGAGCAGAAGGCTCAGACGGAATGAGTTTCTCTCTCGCGAATGCGCGAATCGCGTAGCGTGAGCGCGTGGTCACTCCCCCTTCTGCGGATGGCCAATAAAAGATGTCTTCACTGACAAAAGGAGATTAATCAGCGAGGAGGAACACAGAAGATGAGTCACGTCCCAGGAAGACATCTATCTTGCGAGTATTAAGTCAGTATATCCCAGATTAAGTCTGGGTCTTGGATCGACGCTCGGAGCCCTCGAGACTCCCAATGTCTCTCGCATCTCGAGTCGCCCGACGTCGTCCGCAAGCAGGCTCTATGGAATCGCTCGCAGTTTTTGGCACTTTTTGCGAGTTTTTCAAGTCATTCTCGAGGAGTTTTTACGAAACTTGTCCCACGGCTACGTTGACGTGAAACTAACAGATGAGCATTTCATCACTAGAAATCGTACATTAAAATACGGACGACATCGAATCCCTTCCCGCCACATTTCCAATAGCCAATTCCAGAGGTTACCAGAGGGTTAAGTGGACCTACGTACACGCAGCTTGCACCTTTCAAATACTTTTTTTTTCAGAGCCAAAAAAAAAAAGTTTCATTAGATCGTTCGTATAGAAAGATTCGGAGAATCTCTTCTTCTCGACAGCGATTCTCAGAGGGGACTCGACCCAGTGGGAAGTCTGTCGAGGACTCCCTGCCGCCCGATCCAGTTGCACGTGCCGGTCCGTCGCGATCTGTCGGCCGACCGTCGTCGCTCCATCGAGTTCCTTCTGAAAATCGCTCTCGGGTGTTGGTTCATTCTCGGAGGAGCCAGTCCGTCGAACCGCCCCAATCGAACCGAGATAAAAGAAATAAAAATCGAGACCTCGTGAGTTGAAGCCTGGTGGTCGACTCGAACCCATCGAGTCCCTGCTTCATGCGACGCCGATGGTACGACAGCTTCACCGAGTTCTTTGTGCTCTTCGGGGCCTGGCGCTGGTCGTGCAGCCGGCCCTGCGTCGGCGTGTCTCCCTGGATCTTCACGTCGAAGAGGCTCAGCTCGTCGTGCGACGAAGGCGACTGGCGTCGCCCGCGGAGGCAACGACATCTGCCCCATCGCTGGATGAACTCCTTCTTGAACTTGTCCTGAGGGAATTCCGATGGCTTCTTTTAATAATGAATTCATTCTGTTTAAATATAATAAATTCTTTAGATTAATTCAGAGATGATTCTATTATGCATACGAATGCGACCCCGGTTTTATAAGCCACTCGTATCGAATAGAGGAAGCCACACAAAGGGACCCACACGGGCACGAAGGGGACATAGACCATCTCGAGATGAGACATTTCTTTGAGCACGAGAATGTCCTTGTGCAAACAGACTCCACGGAAGGGATCATGAAAGATGCAGGAGAGATTCAAGTGCAGCTCCGTCTCGTTCCCGGACGAGCAAATACCGCGCACGATCTCGATGTCTGTCGTTATCAGACCCGAGAAATTCGCAAATTTGATGAGGGATTTAAATTTAAATCTCTTAGTTTTGGGAAACGGGATGAACGCCCTTGGAAACGTTCGATCGATTGTTCAAACGTCCAAACTTGCAACTTATTTCAATGGATTGGAACTCTTTTTCAGATTTCTATCAGCTAATTGGATCTCTCGTCGCTCCGAAGCAACGTATCCTTCGAAGTCTCTCATCGCGTCTTTCGCTACCTTCGTGCGATTTTTGGCAGATGGTGCCTCAGTCGTCGTCTCGTCGACACTGAAAGTGTCCCATCAGATTTGTCTATATTTAGAATCGAAAAAAATTTACTCGGGTTAAGCCAAGCCATGCAGCGAATCGATCCAAGACGATTCAGCGAGTACAATCAGCTCGCAAGCTGGTGGAATCGCGTTTCGCAGGAGAACGAGGATTTAAATTTTAAAAAGGCGGAATATTCTGTACTTTTTCACCCTTGATTCCAGCTGTGTGGGATCCTCGGCGGCAACACCTGCTCACAAATCGGAGGGTAAAGTTTAAAGGAAACTTTCCCTCTCTTTTCACCCTTATGGGAATTCAGTCCCCTGCCCTCCTTGCCCTCCTCCCCTCCTCCCCTCCTTCCCTCCCCCCTCCTCACACCCCATCTCAGGGGAAGCGAATCTGTCATCTGACACACATGTACATGATGGATGCGTGAGGTTAGAAAGGGCAGAGGGCAGGCATGAAAAAGAGACCCCCTCCCCGAAATTTACTCTAAAATATCTGTTCTTACCGAATTTCGACAAACTTCGCACTCATCATAAACTGACACACCCCCATGATTCATGGAGATCCTCTGAAATTCTTTGGTGAAATTGATTAAGGATGACATTTAAAAGAAATCGGGAATCGAATTGGGAACCCTTCGGATTGAACGCGTTCGCGAACTCTGAGACCGATTAACTCTATTAGTTATTAACTTAAAAGGCTCATCCGAACCATCTTCACGGAAAGGTCAGTTCAAAGAATAAATTTAAAAGAGATTCCATTCCTCATTTCAAAAATGCTTTCTCAAAGCCTCGCCCATGCATAAAAAATTTTAAGTGGAATTTCTCAATACCGTCATCATAAATACCGTTTCCATAAATACCATACCAAATCCCAATAAAAACTCATCGGTTAACAGTCGGTCAGACGCATGCACAAGTGAGCCTCACGTTATAGATGGCATAGACGAAGGGATTGCAGCAGGAGTTGCTCATCGCCAGCCAGTGGATGCAGAAGAACACGATGTTGATGTAGCGGTACCTGCATAGAATCCAATCGAAAAAGTTTTATTTTTAAAGGATAAAGAGGGATCCGAATTCTGAGACAAAGCGGTTCTGAGTCGGTTGTTTCAGTGCTTTTACGAATGTTTTTCCGGCATAAAAAGGACTTCTTGAGGCAATTAATTAGTTTGTGGAAATGAGAAGCTCGGGATCAAGAAAAAAGCAAGGATGGAGCAAGAGGAAAGATTGGGAAGCAATCGGACGGAAGATGACCGGAAAGGAAAAGTTCCCATCTTCCCATCGGATGAGAAAAGTTCAGGATGAGGATTCCCCGCGAAATCGGAGGGGGGGGGGGAATGGAACCGCAACGGCGCGGGAATCGATCCTGACGATTGTCATCGCGAGTTTCCCCGGCAATATCGAATGTACTTCGGGTTCCATAATTGAGGGAAGGATATGAGACGCGATTCCTTGTTTCCATCTTCGTCGCGAGGTATCCTCATCTACAATTCCATCGCGGTGTTATTACGATGCCAATCGCAATATCCTCCCCTCTTTAACTCGGCGTTGGGGCGCATATCGAGGATCACAGATTCAAGTTTTTCCCTTCGTGCTTGAAACTTGTCCAGGTGGGGGGGGGGGGGGGCAGAGGTTGGACCTTTACATGCAAATCCTTCAGATTCAGCTCGAAATGGTGTCTATGGACATCGTATCCTGTTTTATTTCTTTTTTTCTTTTACTATTCCTCATCGTTAATCAAGATACGAAGTCTGAAATAAAAACAGCTGAATAGTTTTATTTTCCTCCCTTTCGTTGTTTTATTGGGTTGCACAGCTGAAGATTAAATCTCCTCTCCAAACTTGGCCGGAAAAGTAATTAAGCGTCCTTTCCTCCTCGTAAGACTCGCGTTTGCATGGTTCACGAGGACATGGTGCAATCATGTCCGGGATTCTCTCCTCTACTTCCCTGATCACAGGGCGTTTCGCGTCCGTTCGCGTTGGAAGGCAAAGGAACTCGGATGTGCGTGCAAACCCACGCAGATTCGCAGATGAAGAGGAGATTGAAGACTAAATGCCATTTCATGCTTTGCGTTTCCGCATGCGTTTGCGTACTTGCTCGTTTGTGTCGGAAGGAAACCCAATCGCGTCTTCACGCGTTCACACGCTCGTGCTAAGAGGGAAAAGAAATTCGTAAACGAGAAAAAAAATTACCGGATTGGCGTTCGGAATAGGACGGAACCGTTTAGCCTTGCGTTTCCTCTTTACGAGGGGATTCGTGTGGGCATGCGCTCTCGTGTGCGTTCCCTCGCGTTCGACCGTACGTGGAGTAGTTCCATTAGTTCGCGTGGAAAGGAAACGTGAAGCGTGAAAAGGCTTTCAATCCCTCGCAGTTTCCACTCGTCCGATCGAGTCTGCTCTTGGCGCTAAGTGGTTGCGACGAAGCGAAAAGCGAGGGTCTCTTGGTTTCGCTTCGTGTTTTTACACATGAACTGTCGGGGAAAGGGTTTTCGTCTCTCGGCAGAGGAATGTCTCGCGAGCGTTCTCATGCCAAAATCTATCACGTAACCGAGGGAACATAATTACGGCGAGGAGAAAAAATAGAATAATTTCTTTTCACTACGAGGGCGACGACACGAGGAAACTCCAGTAAAATGGCTAAAAGTATTTTTAAAAATGAAAATAGATGTTTATCGCTTGGCAAAACTCCGTATACGTGAGAATACGATGGTAAATGGGAAAAAATTGGCTTCTGATACCTTCTTGATTTCTTGAGCCTCCTTAATATGGTAATTATAAGTGCAGGGGCGGCGAAGGGGTAGGAGGGGGGAGGAAGGGGGGGGGGGACTTGTCCGGAGCAGAAGGGAAAAAAGGAATCATGCGACAGGAATACATAATTGTTCCCGCTGAAATGTCAAGAACCACTTATCCCAGAGAGAACATTGAATTAGAGGTAAGAAATTCCTCCCTGCGTGCGAAAAGCAAAACTATTGAGAAAGAAGCGAAGAATTAAACACAGAAGTTAAATGCCAGGCGGTTCCAACAGCCAGCAGACGGGAAACACAGACAGAACACGTTGGAAACAAATAAAAAGGAGGGTTAAACGGAAGGATTTAAGCATGAAGGGAGTGAAATGCTGCGAAAAAAAAAGGCAGTGTCATGCCAGTCATGTCAGTTAAATTGAGTGACAGACTTTCTCGCTGTTAACGTTTCCATCATCGGAGCAGAAAGCTCTCATAGGTACTTCTCAGATATTTGGTCAATGCAAGCTCCTTGAATCGCAAATCTATTGTTTTCGAGTTGGATGATGGATTGTGAAAGACCGAAACCATGGCTCGGAGATAGGAAGCATTGCAAGAACGGAAATGAAGTGAAAAGGGTCGACCCTTCGACTCCGGAGATGGGAACGGCTGCCGACGAATCTATAGAGGAGGCGAATGATAGCGGGTCCATCATATTGCTCGAGACAAGAGATGAGGCCGGGGGTCCGAAGGGAATCAGAGACGAATTGGATGGGGCGAGGCATCCTTTTTGGGCGGTCGTCCTTCTGGGGAGGGGAGGGGAGGGAAGGGGGACGACCACTTTCTCCGTTTCGAACGGTTTCAGAGTCACTGGAGGATTTTATTAAAAGCTCTTGTGGGGAGCTCGATCGATTCAAGGAAGGCGCCGGGGGCGACCCCGAAGGCCCCCAGGACGACCACTCCTTCCACTTGATTCCACAGATTTTCCGGTTTTATCCCGGTGCAGAGGCGGACAAGACGAAAGCCGCCGCGCGATGGATTGGAGATTTGTCGTTAAGAAATTTCGGAATTGTTCCAAGCCAGACGATAAAAATGTACGAAGCAGAGGTTAAAAATTGTTCGCGGATAAATAGTGCCCCTTACGAAAATGTCTTATAGGATTCCTATATATTCCTAAAGGAATATANCGAAACCCAAAATATCCTCCCTGAATCCTATAGGTCAGGAGACCTATAAGACCCTATAGGGATCCTATAGGATCCTAAAGGATCCTATAGGTTTTTCGTGTTTCAAAAACCTATAGGAAAGTCTATAGGTTTCCTATAAGAAATAACTATAGGTTTCCTATAGGACATTTCCGTAAGGGTAATGATCGATTTCCATGTCCCTCGAAGCTCGTTTGCTTGCTCCCCCGACAGAAAACTTCAACATGTTGAAATTGAAACGAGCGAAAAATCAACGGTGATTCACCGCTACATCCGCTCGACAACGGTCACCGTTGAGTCACCGCTGAATCACCGATCGAGGTTTCGGGGTCGAAGGGGAAAATCCCTCGGAAGTTTTTGCGAGTAATATTTAGGCAATATCTCGGCATATAAAGAATTACCGCCAGTTTTTGCCACCAACGTTTTAGTCACTGTCACCGAGAGCGTATTACAGTGTAACCAGGAATTTTCGACTTAAAGACTTAAATCGCGGTCTAAGATGTGGCTTTCTTTTAGTTTTGCGATCTGGACCATCTCCTTCCTATAAATTGACCCTAAGTGGGGAAAAAAATCACGAGCGACTTCGCGATTCCTTTTTGCCTTGCAAAATTCTCGAAATTATTACCGTGGACCCAGATGCATTTCCTTTTCGCGGGGTTACAAGGCCCATGGCACACATTACAAGCAATATTTATTATCCTTGATCCCACGGGAGGATCTGCCGGAGCATCTGCTCCATATTTCGTAATCCGGAGTCAGCCATGCTCGAGAAATTGAGAAAAGCAAAACAAGGAAAATGAACGCAGTGCTTATGGTCCAGAAAAAAATACAAACAAACAATACAAAGGCGTTGAACTGAAAGAAATGGGGTTAGAAAAATACTCGATTCATCGGAGTGAAACTTATAAGAATCGCCCGGAAAGGCACACCATAAAGAAAACATTGTGGTATTTAAAAAAAAAGACAAATAAGCTGCCATATTACAGAATAAGTTCCCTTTTCGAGCAGAGCAAAACTTCTTCCCATCTACGAGCGGCATTTTAAGGGTCTCGAGCTACGGGAAAAACGGTGGAAGGACTTTAAACGACGACCTGCAGTACTGCAGGTCGTCGTTTAAAGTCCTTCCACCGTTTTTCAGGGAAAAGGCAGGAATTACGTAATTCCTGCCTTTTCCCTGTTTCCAGGTACAGGCCCTAGTCCTTAGACGGGACCTCTGCTTTGGATTAATTTCAGGAGACAATTTACGAGTGGGAATTGGATCGAAAGATGGATCGGGAGACTCTGAACTCCGGCATCAGACCTGATCTTCACTGTCACAAGAAAAGGTGTGAAGCTTCAGCCCGCGTAATTTCTTCTGTACTATTGCGTACTTCGACGGTTTTGAACTTTCGTGCACGGTTTATGGAAAAAATTACTTGAAACTGCTCTAATAGTCCTATTTTAATGAATCCCAATGAAAAAAACAACATGAAATTCAAGGTAACCATATGGCCATCTATGTGATTGATCCAAAATGTACAAAGATATCGGCGGCGTTATTGGGAAGAGTATACCGTTCCAAGTTGTTCACGGCAACTTGGACTGGAAAGGAATCCTCCTTTTCGCAGATGACCAGAAGATAAAGGATGGTAGAGGACGGCAGTGGATAGAATTGGGTGGCAGTAGATGGCATTGGGTGGCAGTGGATGACAAGGGGTGGCTGTGGATGGCATTGGGTGACTGGATGACAGAGCATGGCGGAGTTCGATGTCCAGATGGGAAGAAAGAATCAGTCCATGGCCTTCTCCTTCACTGTCTGTTCCATTTTTCATGCGGCACGTCTACACATGCAGTCATCGAGAAATAACTCGTCTCTTCGACTGGTTCTTGCCTCTATCGCCACGGCCTCGTCAGCCATGCCATGAATTAGCCCTACCGGAACGAATTTTAAACGAAGTAACTTCCTCGGAGCCCGTAGAACTCCAGTATAAATAGTGCCGATGGTTCCCGTATCCATCTCCCCCTCTGCAGAGGGAATCCTGCCACAACTTTTCGAGGGCGAGCATACATAACAAGAAATCTTCCGATAAATCGATGGATGCCTACTTCAAGATGGTTCTTTCAATCCAGAGAAATCGTTTGCAATTTCGACAGTGACAGTTCCCTTCATTCATGATACAGATATCGACATACCTATGAGCTGAGATTCTTTCTCGGAAAAATTTAAAGATTTTTTGAATCTGTAAGACTCGTGCAGGCATATAGTCTGAAGAAGCAGAAGAGCGAGAAAGAGATTAAATGATTTCCATATTTCCTTTCGGGTGTCTGTGCCAAGTTGGCTAAGCGGAAACTAATCTGGTTTTGGGTTCGTGAATGGGCTCATATGGGGGTCTGGTTCCTCTAGGTTAATCTAATCCCCATAAATCACGTCATGGAATCAGATCGATTTAAGGTAAGACGGATCTGGTGTCTGTCACCCCGCGAGGCTCGAACGGGCGAGGACGCAAAGGAAGAAGCCGTTTCTGGACGGAACCCAAACTCCTTTTCTCCAAAAAACTCCTGAGGTTTGACTCCTCCCATCCACTGTCTCGTTTCTTCCTTTTCTCTCCTCTCCATCTGGACATGAATTCCTTCAGGCAGAATTGCGTGGAGAAGTCATTTCTGAGGGAAGTCGTTCTTTTAACGTCAATGAGAATGAGGAAAGACAACGAAGACGAGCTGTCAAGTTCCTCCCCTTCCCCCCCCCCCCCCTTTTTCTCCCTAATGTGGATCCTTCGAAGGGTTAATGCGTATCCTCCGCTCATCCGAACTCGAAAGGAGGAATTTCCAACCCGTTCGAGTGATTGCTCTCGAGTCAGGTCGGTGCCTCATGCCAGACGCAGGCGAGATGCTCGCTCTTCAACTGTCTGCTTGGCGTCCAGGTCGAGACGCTTTAAGCCGGGAAATCATGTATTAAAATGGGCGGGAATCGGAAGCTGCTTGTACCCGACCATACAATTTGAGCACTCATAGTTAATGAAACTGCTCCTAATGGAATCAGGGTTCATGTATACAGACCAGTTTCTGGTGCTGCGTTGTTCCAGGTTTTATTGTATCCTTTTATCTTTCACCTTTCACCAGTTATTTGCAGGCAAGACTTTTTTTTGCAAAATTAAAAATATGAAATTTTAGGAGAGTTTAGCAAGTTTAACGACTTGAACTTCAAAGCGTCTACCCAAGTAACACAAGATATTCCAGCAACGTTTAGGAAATGTTGATGTTGAATGTTG